GAATTTTGAATGCATTTTAAGAATACTTTTCCCATCAACTGGTCACAATGCACAACAGCGCTGTATGCTGCGTGCGTTCTCTGATGTAAACAAGCACGGATGAGAAGCGCACGGCGGAGCGCGAGAGACGCTCTGGATGAAAGCGCACTTTCACTCTCTGACAGCAGATGGCGCTGAACAGCAGAAATGCAGCCGTTACCCCGGAAACCCCAAGAAACAAAGCAGCTGTGCTACTTTGTTTCTGAATCGTGTTTAAATGATTTAAACAGCCATTCAGATTTGTGTATTTGCTATGATGTTCATCACAGCGCCAAATACTTAAAATATTTAGACTTAATAGGCTATTTATTTTCAAACCTTTCCACATTTTAATCTGGACTACAACATGCCCTAGATACTGTTTGAAAAGGTTTTGATTCTTTGTTGGGTCACACTTTACATTAAGGCTCCATTAGTTAACATTAGTTATTTCATTAGTTAAACTGCCAATGAAATATTCTTCTAAACATTCATTAATCTTAGGCAACTTCAATATTTAATAACACGTTGTTAAAATCAAAAGTTGCAACTGTGTTATTTAATGAGCTAACATGAACTAAGAGTTGTATTTTTTAAACAAAGATTAATAACTTCTGTAGCAAATGTAGCTATTGCTCATTGTGAATGTTAATGCATTAACTAAGGTTAACTAATGAGGTCTTATTGTAAAGTGATACCTATTGGTCTTTATAGTTCTTTTGCACTTTAATCTGTGTAAAACTTTTAACTTCATACATTTTTCTGTATTGCTTTGTTGTATTTAAATGTTCAGTTATTTTTGTTATAAGTTATTAAACCTGCAATACGACAACACTTTTTTTTGCAACTAAATTTCAATATCGTGATAATACCGTATACCGTGATAAAAGCATTAGCAATTAATCGCATCATGAAAATTCGATACCGGCATATCCCTAGTTCTATGTCCTTTTGATGTGACGCCACAGTGTAAGACAATCCAGAGATAATCCAGGTTACACTGAAATACATCATTCTGTGTTTGGATGAGCCTAAGCCTTTCTGTGCCTCTATGTATTGAAGTGTCTCTTAGATAAGGAACGTTTAAGGAGATGCATCCATATGAAATGCATCTGATTGGGTTATGAACATGATGCCTAATAATACAGAGTAACCTGAACACAGTACAGCTGACTAATCATTTAAAGAAGAACTGTGAAATCTGTTAAGTCTTTGGGTTGGAACAAAATTAACATTATTAAGCAGTTACCAGCATTTAAAGACAACACTTCCACTTCACTTTAGTACTCATCACTTGTTGTTTACTGGAGTATGTAGGAGTTTTACCTTATTGGACGTGAGACCGGCGCCGGCTCCTAACTTCTGATCTCTGATAATGTCGATGTCCATGACCATGAACTCCTCCAGCTGCCGCGGGCTACACAGACTGCTGAACGGATGACGCCAGAACGTGTTCCCATCCACCTCAGCAACTGAAATAAACACACACTACAATAAATAAAATACCATCCTCTAAAGACCTGGGTGTTATGATTGACAGCAGTTTAAAAAAAAAACATATTTCAGCAAAAATTAATGGAGAAGCACGATAATGGATATGACAATATTAATGTATTTGATCTCGTCAGACTAAATGTGTCCCTGGAGCACAAAAGCAGTGTTAAGTCGCTGGGGTATATTTGTAGCAATAGCCAACAATACATTGTATGGCTCAAAATTATCCATTTTTCTTTTATGCCAAAAATCATTAGGATATTAAGTAAAGATCATGCTCCATGAAGATATTTAGTAAATTTCCTACCGTAAATATATCAAAACTTAATTTTTGATTAGTAATATGCATTGCTAAGAACTTAATTTGGACAACTTTAAAGATGATTTTCTCAATATTTAGATTTTTTTGCTCCCTCAGATTCCAGATTTTCAAATAGTTGTATCTCGACCAAATATTGTCCTATGTATAATGTATGATGTATAAATCTCAATTTCACAAAATTGACCCTTATGACTGGTTTTGTGCTCCAGGGTCACATATCTGCAACGCATGCTGCAGCTGATACACACACTACCCTTCAACCATTGAGAGTCGGTAAGAAGTCTCTTCTGCTCACCAAGGCTGCATTTATTTGATAAGAAATACAGAAGAAGAGTAATATTGTGAAACACTAGCCTATTTCAAGTTAAAACAGCTGTTTTCTATGTTAATATCTGTTAAACTGTAATTGATTTCGGTGTATTTTCAGCATCATTACTGCAGTCTTCAGTGTCACATGATCTTCAGAAATCATTCTAATATTCTGATGTGCTGCTCAGGAAACATTTCTGATTATTATCAGTTCAGAAAATGCATTTCCAATTTAATGAATCCTTGCTGAATAGAAGAACAAATATATCTTACTGACCCAAATATTTGAATGTTAGTGTACACAGACCATACAAACAACCTCCCCCAGCAAGACAGAAGAGCATAAACACATTACAAGACAATATACAGACATACATAACAACCCCAACTAAACTGAAGAAAAACATGTATGTCAATATAGGACACCACAATACAACAATAACTTTGTGTGCTGTTAAGAAATAACATATCATGTTGCAAGCTGATAGAGAAGAGCGAAATAAGCCACAAAACCACCTGAACAATAAGCCATTGTCTTTTGAACACAAGTACGTGTAAGTGTGCAGTAACTCACTCTGCAGGGTGTTGGGGTCAATCATGTGTATAGAGCTGGTGACCCGGATGCAGACGCACACCTGACCCATGTTTCCCAGACTCTGGGCGAGCCGTGGAGACAGACACACCACGTTATCCTGCGAGACAGCGGGAGGGATTTTACTTTCTAAAGCTATGCATTACATGTGAAATCGATCCATGAGTGTGTGAGCAGAGCGGAATATACAGGACAGAATAATGCGTCCCGCTTTTTAATTATGTGTTCCAATGATTAAACCGTTCTTCTTGACGGTAGAGCTGCACGATATATCGTTTCAGCATCGATATATTTCACAGATATCACATCGCAGGATGTGTGAGGTTTAGTATACTGATCGCTATATTTATGTCGAAACGCGCGTCTCTTCAAGTATCCTTGTAAACACAGTTGCTTAAGGTTTAGGTGAAGGTAAACAAGTGAGAAAGAAAACGGATGTGTAACAGTGTATTGTTTCCGGAGGCTTTCTGTGTCATGAATGTTAATCAAACAACAAAACACAGAGAGAAAAATCACTTTTGTAGCTTTAACACAGATTTGTTAGATTTAATTTAAACAGTGAAGACTATGCAGTGTTGGTTATTCAATTTCTGCACCTGAATACTGTTAGACTTACCTGAAAAATATAAAGCACCGTTTATTTCATTTGTATCTTTGTTCTATTATATGTGACCCTGGAGCACAAAAACACAGCATTAAGCGTCAATTTTTCGAAATTGAGATGTATGCATCATCTGAAAGCTGAATAAATAATCTTTCCATTGATGTATGGTTTGTTAGGATAGGACAATATTTGGCTGAGATACAACTATTTGAAAATCTGGAATCTGAGGGTGCAAAAAAATCTAAATATTGAGAAAATCATCTTTAAAGTTGTTCAAATGAAGCTCTTAGCAATGCATATTACTAATCAAAAATGAAGTTTTGATATATTTACAGTAGGAAATTTACTAAATATCTTCATGGAACATGATCTTTACTTAATATCCTAATGATTTTTGGCATATATGTACCTTAAAAATATGCTCCAGGGTCACATATTTATCTATGCTTGTAATTATTATTATTTTTTTATGCTGATTTGCTCACCAACAAAATCACCCCAATCATTGATTTATTTATTTTTCCCCCAAATAGAGCTATTCAAGTCATCTGGTGATTTTTTTTTTTTTCCATGTCGCAATATATATCGCAGAAAAACTAAATATCGCAATGTGAGTTTTTTCCAATATCGTGCAGCCCTACTTGACGGTACAACATACATCAACAGAGAACCAGAAAATAAAAACCAATAAAACAAGTCAGTGAAAAGCATTCACCCAGCATGAACGAAGCACAGAATGAATAAACGATGTTTACCTTACACACAGGAACGATCTCCATTGAGAAGGTGCTTTTGTAGTTGTAGGTATTGGAGTGAACATCATGAGAGATCAACCGCTGAGACGCCTTCGACCTGCACAAACAACATTCAGTATTAGTTTAATGCACCCAACATAAAAACTCATCACAGCAGGGATTTGATTAGATACAAGCCTTTAGCTCTTTCTCATGCTTCCCTTCAACGACACACTGAACTAAACAAAGCGAATCTTGCAGTTTGCAAAGTGCATGGTATATGTTTGGGATTTCCGTTGTGTGCATTCAAATCACTAAACTCTACATATGAGCGAATGCATGTGAAATAGTTTATCCAGCAGAACAGGTGCACAAACGAAATGAACGTTTTGTTTCATAAGACACGTTGAACATTTACTGACTAGGATTTTCAGACCTGCAGGGAACGGTGCACTGCAAGAAATCCACCATCTTCTGAGCGTGCTGCTTAGAGGCGTAGTAAAAATCAATGCCCTCTGAAGACACACAGACAGAAATATATTAAAAAGGAAGAACAATACAGATGGGTCAGACTATGACTATAACCACAACTCATAACACAGCATCAGACAAACACCGAGGAGGAAATATACCATGAATCTCTTTGATGCGCACTGTGTTCTGATGCAGCTTGTGCTTCAAAATCAGCTGCTCCAAGTAGTAAAATGTCTTTTTGTGGACAGTCTGAAGAACGAAAAAGTAAATAATACAATGCTGAAGGCACAGAGAAACAGTAACACTTTAAATAATAAACACAGAAGGCAAATGTGAATGATACTGTCTGAAAGCAATAGGGTTCAGCTAGAGAGGCACCGATCGATCAGCCAGGTCGAAAAAAATTCGAAATTATAAATTATAATATATGATTTAGGTACGCAGCATTGCACGACCAAGATGTTTAACCCGAATATCAACGCGATTGCAATGTGACACTGATTTTAGTTCAATAAACAAAAAAGTTAAAATTAAGCAACTTACATTTTAGACACAATATTCACTGTTTTTGCTAAATTTCGCTGACGAAAGTAGTTCAAATCAAAGCCACAGGAGAACTGTTTTGTGTCTCCGAGCAACACAGCGGTGTTTCGTTTCTGAATGATTCCACGTTTTTGAACGCATCGAGCGAGTCAATGATTCAGAAACCCATTCATAAACTGAATGAATCGGCCGTTAGAACGAATCGGTTGAATGAATGACTAAATGACTTGCAGTCATTTGCCGCCACCTGCTGGTGGTTTGGTTTCATATTTCAAATTATCAGTGCATTTTCCCCAACATTTCTTATTTGAATGTTTAAAATATTTAAAACATTAATCTTATAAAATTATTTATGCATTTGAAATTTTGCAGTGTAACTGCATTTATAGTAACTTAGTCCAGATTGGGGGAATTGTAATGTTTAATAAATTGTTTTTTTTGCATTGAAAAAAAGTATAGATTTTTGTTTGTATATGCTGTCAATTATAGTTCTTAGAAAGAAAATCAGAATCGGCAAAAATCGTTATCAGCAGGTCACACTTAAAAAAAAAAAAAAAAAAAAAATCGGAATCGGCCAAGAAAATTACAATCAGTGCATCTCTAGGTTCAGCAGAAGTAGGCCCAAAAAATTAAAGACACTTCCCTGAAGATCACTGAAGGTTACAGATATTAGCATACTGCAGTCAAAATTCAGTTTACATTTGCTTTTCCTAGTTGTTACTACTTGAGTTTTTCACAAAAAAAAACAAACAAACAAACATCAATTTCGATACCACAGCAAAAACTAATACTAGACTTACTAATATAAGTACAGTTAATTAATTGATACGAGTATAGTTCTCAAGCAATTATTGAAGACAACTAAACAGTCAGTTGTAAAATGAGACTAAAGCGGCAAATTAAAAATAATAAGGAAAACAGATACAAAAGACTTATAAAATCTAACAATAGTATTAATGTAAGAAATACTATAGAAATTAAAAGCAACCAAATTAAATATAAAACAAAACACTGTGTAAATTAAATACACATTGATCCTTATTAGCAGCAGGTATATATTAGGCTGCTGTCACTTTAAGACCTAATTAGCAGAATGTCGATGGCACAATAAATGACAAATAATCGTAACTCTTACCATGCTTTTAATTCAGTGCAACTTAACATTTGATTAAATATTTTAGGATTAAATACGTAAGGAATAATTGACAACGGGCCTTTGAATTCTTAGAAAATAATGCACACATTAAGTTCATTTTCTTCACGAACAGCGCCGCTGTTGTTACCTCGCTTGTGAGAAGTCATAGTTTTTAAGTTGATGTTACTGATAAAATCGTCAGAGTAGCGCTAACAACATAAGCGCATATGTTAGCGTGTGTGCAAACCGTATGCACGTGTGTTGTGTGCACGTGTATGCTGTTTTAGGCTGTAAGGTCCTTTGAAATAACTGAAGTGATATGAACATGTAATGCGGTCAAGAGCTTCCTGGACCTTAGAACGTTCGTCAGCCAATCAGATTCAAGCATTAAACGGCCCCGTAGTATAATTTAAATATTTTAGCAACGCTCTGCTCTAGGCATGTGTCTCCTGCGTGTACCTTCTGTCTGACTTGCACGACTGCTTTCCAGAAGTCTTTGGCCTCCACCCGATGGCAATCCTCACACATCTGAGGCTGAATGACAAACTCCACCACGAACACCTGCTGCAGAATGGCTCCATTCATGACCTACAGACACATCAGCCTCACTGAAACACTGTCAATCAGGAGTCGCCTCAGTCTAGAAATCTCCTACATTACCTCTTTCTGGATGGTCAGCTTCATCTTGATTCTTTTAGAGTGCGGCTCCGTCCATAAGAAGCCCGCATCGATAAGTCTCACCTTGAGGGTAATAAACGAAACACACTGTGAACTCAGCATCAGCTGCGGCTGTCCTCGATGTGATTCTGTGAGTTACCAACCTTTGCCATGGAAGCCTTGAGTTTCTTAAGGCACAGAGTCAGAAGCTCGCGGGACTCCAGAGCGCACTGGAGCCACGTCCCCGGAGGCTGCAGGTACCTACAGACACACACACAAGAAAACACTTATTTAGACGTCATCGTCACACACTCAGAGCTAGATCTTTCGCTCTGTGTTTCAGGGATCTGTACCATCATCATTTTCTAAATCCATATTCTAGTCCTTTATTTCAGTTCTAAAAGAGATGCTGACATGCTTTAGAGCTGTGCAATATTCCTGCACACAAGTAATCATATTCTGAATGAACTAAAACATATGTGGACCACAAAACCAGTCGTAAGGGTCAATTTTTCGAAATTGAGATCTGAAAGCTGAATAAATAAGCTTTCCATTGATGTATGGTTTGTTAGGATAGGACAATATTTGGCTGAGATACAACTATTTGAAATCTGGAATCTGAGGGTGCAAAAAAATCTAAATATTGAGAAAATCATCTTTAAAGTTGTCCAAATTAAGTTCTTAGCAATGCATATTACTAATCAAAAATTAAGTTCCGATATATTTACGGTAGGAAATTTACTAAATATCTTCATGGAACATGATCTTTACTTAATATCCTAATGATTTTTGGCATAAAAGAAAAATGTGTAATTTTGACCCATACAATGTATTGTTGGCTATTGCTACAAATATACCCCAGCGACTTAACACTGCTTTTGTGCTCCAGGGTCACATACATGTTCCTTTTTCACTATTAATCAAAATCATCGGTCTCATTCACTAATAACTGCATGGATTATTAGCATTTATACACACAGCAGAACTTAACGTTGCTGCTCCCAAATTGTTGAATTTTCCTTCCTTTGGATTTAAGATCTAAAGACACGTTTTAAAAGCAGCTAAAACCTTGCTTTTGTTTAAATGCTTTTGCATCGCTCTGTTTTATCTGATTGTTTATTTTTAATGTCAGTCATTTGAGTGGGTGTCTTTTGTAAATCACTGTAAAAATACATGATAGGCATTATTTTTTGGTACGGAATGTATGGAAAAAAAAATGAAAGCTGCATTAAACTTTTACTGTTTTGATGCTTGAATCATGTTAGTGAATGAGGCCCATTTATTATCATATATGTTCTTGACAAGAGGTAGTTAATAAGAGTGTCATGATGCTTTCGTCTGCATTTTATGATTTAAAGGGATAGTTCACCCTCCAAAAAAGACAATTCTGCCATTATATACTCCTCATAAGACTTTTATCAGTTATGAGTTAAGTTCTTGTAATGTTTCTCAGTTGTGCTCCAACCCTAACTCCACTTTCACTGTCAGTAGACATGGTCATAGTTTATTTTCTTGAGCTGTTAAGTCGATTTCAGTGAGTCCAGCAGACCGTACCGTTCACACTGCCTGCAGAAATGGATGGTGACTTGCTTGGGAATTCCTTCCGAGATGTCCACTTTATTCCTCAAGCAGGAGACGCACATGTATGGCTTGCTGGGTAATTAGGAGTCGTTTGCAAGGCAGAGAGCTGAAGCCATTAATTTGTGCGCAAGTTCAAGATAATTTGCGATTCATAGATTTAACTTCTGAAAGAGAGGCATATGTGCGTTTTCTGTATGTACGTTCATTTTATGACTCACACGTACGCATATTTGAGAGATGATCGTAAGATCAAGGTTTCTGCGCAACATTTTAAAAATAAGGCTCCTGGAGAAATTCTGTATGAAGGAATGGTCTCTGATCTCTTCTCAGCTCTTCTCCAAACTCTTCAGGCATTATAGCAGAAAACTCAGAGCTGTTATCTTGGGAAAAGGACGTTGCAATAATTGGGTACCAATAACGTGAACCAGAGAAAGCATTTATTTCACAATGAATAAAACCCACTGGTAACAAGTGGAGGGAAACGGGTATAGGAATAAGAAAAAAATGTGCCTTTTGATCAAAATCGGAATGCAATTAATTTTTATAGATACTGTCGTCAAAGACGCCATTTGAAGCTAAACGCAGACGTTTAAATGGACAGACTACGGATGAAAACTTCAATGATTACTCTACCTTTAAAGCATACATTTGATTTAAACAATAGGTCTACATAATTTTCACATATGCAGTTCATAGTATTAGCCCTACAGTTACCGCATAAAATATTATTTAAAGCAATTCCTATTAACATTTTACACAACATTTATTTATTTCATCTCACAATTCAGTTTTTTTTTCCTGGCAAATGCAAGTTTATATCTACTAATTCGGACTTTATTATTATTATTATTAATATAATATATTAATAATATTATATTATTATTATTTCTGCAACCATGATGCGCGCGCATGTATAAGCAGTTTTTTTCTTCATTAAAAAACAGGAAACTCTGACTCACAATTTAGTGGTTCCTATGTGTATTACTCCAGCGCAGAGCTAGGACTTTTATTTTGACAGGTCGTTTGGTTTCTTGTATTTAGAATGTAAATAAACAAATGTGAGACCATCGTCTTGTGTGTGTGAGTGTGAGACTGCAGCTGTTTTGTCTCACTGACAACACACAGCTCTAGTACTGACGGTTAAAACCTGTCTGTCTGCCATCTGCTTCTGTCAAGCAGCAGCACACAGGGTTGCCAGGTCTTCACAACAAAACCCCCCGTTGCATAAATACACACACATGTATTATATAAACAAAAACGTGTATTTTGGATGCGATTAATCGCGATTAATCGTTTGATAGCACTACATTTTAATAACCAAAAACTCCCAGGAAAGTCTAACAGAAGAGATCAGTGCTTCTTGGGTTCTCCCTGTATCTTCTGATTTGCGCTTTATTTGACTGGCGTTATTTATATATGGATGATTGTGGAAATCCTGCATGTAAAACATGAGTATTATTACCGTCTGACACATGACTGTACTAACGTTACCGTTACCGTAGCGCTGTTTAGTAAGGTGCGTGTCAGCATATAGAAACACTAAACCAATACTCACTGTGTTGGAGAATCGGCGATAACCAATTCAACTAGATCAATAACTTCTGGTGAACATCACATGAACACAGCACACGTCATAGTGTTGGGAGTAACTAGTTACATGTAATGGCGTTACGTAATTTAATTACAAAATAAATATACCTGTAATCAGTTACAGTTACTAAGAAAAATTTTTTTGTTAGATGCCAGTGTTTCCTGTAGTTATGCAAAGATTTGGTTTCAAAAACAGCATCAGTAAACAATTTCTTATGATTTCAAATCTGCATTGAACTTCAGATCAATCTCAAAGTAAAAGGTGGTACTAAAGTCTGATTTTGTGGTGGATGCGTTCAAATGTTTTCATCTTAATTCAAGTGATGAAGGATTGTGAAAGTCTGACAGTGTTGAGCACTACTGTAAGGTTAACCCTGCATGGTGTAAATGTTTGAAAATGATTAACAATTGAAAACATTCATTAGAAAATAAGAAAAGTAATCAAAAGTAAGTGACATTACTTTAATAAAGTAATTGAAAAAGTTACATTTTAGATAGGGTAACTTGTAATCTGTAACCTATTACATTTCCAAAGTAACCTTCCCTACACTGACTATATCACGTTTGCTTCGGACATGAAAAACAACAGTAGCCCAGTAGACCTTTCTCACACTTCCTATATCCGGTGAGTGAAGCAGTGGATTGCTGTTGGGTTGTTTTGACCCAGCTCTTGGGTTGTTTTGACCCAGCGGTTGGATTGTTTTGACCCAGCTATTGGGTTGTTTTGACATTTTTTAGAGTGTATTAATACATTTCCCTTCCAAATATGCATTCTGAATAATAAATACATTTATTTCCCAACTAACCTACTGCGGTCAAGTTCGTCTTCTCATTAACAATGTTTTTCTCTTACTGATCATATTTCATACCCGTCAACACCCTTACAAAAATTAACCATGGTTTTACTATAGTAAATATGTAGTAACCATATTTATTTTTTTCTGCGTATTGATTTCCATTTGTATTGCCACAGTTTTACTGCACATACCATGGTTAATTTTCGTAAGAGCAGTATTAAAATAGATGAATGAATGCGCGGACGTTGCCTTAAAGAAATGTAACAATGTCGAACATTTTGTCTAATTAATCTTAAACAGTATATCGCGTTGACAGCGTGACTTTGAATATTAATTAAGAATTTTGGCATAAATATGTGAATTACATACAGTGACATGATTGAATGAAAAACGGCAGAATAATGACTAGAATTTAATGCAAATGAATGAATATGTTAATTCTGATCTTATTCATCAGGTCTGGCACACAATGCAGCACTGCAGTCACTATTTAAACGAGCGCTGGCACAGTGTGGTGAAATCGGTTACGTTGGATTAAAACTACAAGTTCTGTTGAGTTTGGAAAATTCTGTGCACAGTAATCGTCAGAATATCTCTTCGCCTGTCTCTAAAAAAATGTCCGGATTTTGAAATCATCCTGCAGATGCTCATTTTAACAGGCTTTTATTCAACTAGGTGATT